TAAAATTAATTAAACTTTTAATTAAAATAGTATAATAAGGTTTTCTAAGATGTTCTCTGACCATGGATACATAGTAAGAGATGTCAAATAATGCTTATAAAAGTGTGGGGATAATTACTTTGAATGAAAGGGTGTGGGATTATTATTCAAACTTTATTTTAAATTTTCTGCATTGATTTATTTAAAGAGTATGTACTGTTTTATAAAACCAACAAAGCTGTAATTCTTCACTGCAAAAAGATTAAACCAAATAAAGTATATTGGAATGAATCCCAGAAGTCAGGCCCACCAAGGACATTTATTAAAACCTCCTCAGAGACATCCTTTAGAAGCTTAAATTTGCTTAGCAAGCACTTTTTAAACTCCTACTGTGTGACTGGGCAGGAAAAAGTTAATTAAAAACTGGTTTAGGTCAATGCCCTTGAATTCATGGAACTTAAATTTTAGTTAAGGGAAAATGTGAGATATTAAAAAGTATAAAACAAGTAAGAAGAGCATATTACTACAGAATCTTTTAAAGTGTTCACAAATCCATGTTCTATGTGCTGTGAAGATAAGAATGTACTAAGATTGTCTCAGAAAACTCCATGGGAGAGGCTTATAAATACATTTTCCCCTTTGCTAAGACAACGAGGGAGGATATTAAAATAATTGATTAGGCAAGAAAAACATACTACAAACCCCATTTATAGCTGGCACCTACCCTTCATCTCACCAGATGCCTGGTTATTTGGTAGTCTATATTCACTGTTACACTAATTCTCAAGGCCTATGATAACAAAAGAGTCCTTGTAAACATTATTAGCATTTGCTGCTATACATATTAGAATAGTGTTTTCTGCCGTGTTTGATTTAGAAATAAGAAAGAGGGCCGGGCACAGTGGCTCATGCTTATAATCTCAGCACTTTGGTAGGCCAAGGCGGGAGGATTGCTTAAGCCCAGGAGATTGAGACCAACCTGGGAAACAAAGTAAGCTCTCATTTCTACAGAAAAATAAAAAAAAACTAGCCAGGCATTATGGCACATGCCTGGAGTCCCAGCTCCTTGGGAGGCTGAGGCAGAAGGATTGCTTGTGCCCAGAGGGTTGAGGTTGCAGTGAGCCATGATCTTGTCACTCTACTCCAGCCTGGGTGACACTGCGAGACCTGACAGAAAGAAAGAGAAAGGAGGGAGGGAGAAAGAAAGGGAGAAGGGAAGGAAGGAAGGAGGAAAGAAAAGAAAAAAGAAAGAAAAGAAAGGAAGAAAGGGACAAGCAAAGTTTTGTTTGTTTTTGTTTTATTATCACATCATCAGAGAAATACATAATATTTAGAACAATTATTTTTTTCAACTGCATTCACTCACCCCATGTGACTAAGTCTATTCAATCAGTGGGCTTTTCAGAGAAACATTCTTACAGTTTTCATGACCAAGAGAAACAAAGAAACCTACATCAACAGTAGTGGCTTCCCATGCTGAGTGATATATTTTTCATAAGAACTTTAAGATTACCATCAGAACTAGGAGGACCGGGTGATTTTGAAGTTTCTTCTCCTTACTATTATTATTATTATTATTATTTTATTGTGTGTTCCTAACTCTCTCCAGGGAAGATGAGCATGAAGAGGCCCGAAGGTCCATGGCACCTCCTTTACTACGGAGTCCTCAGGAAACACACTGGGGTCCATTGAGTCTTGTGCTACACTCATTAGATCCCAACACCCAAATGAAAACTATACATTATACAGCGTGAATATTCTGCAATGTGACAAATTAAAAAATTTCCAGGGATCAAAAGTAAGCACTTAGGAAACAATTAGAAGTATTTTTATCCTTTTAGGGTCATATCACAGCAAGGGTCATATCACAGCAATAAAAATTTAGACTTAGATACCAAAGTTTGATTTTGACTGAATTTTGTTTCAGAATGATCAATTTCAATTAGAACAGACTCATGGCTTTATTTTTAATTCAGAATGGTTTCAACAAGTTGGGACTTATATACAGCTACCCTTACCTGGAGAAGGTAAAAAAGGTTAAAACCACATTTCTGACACTATGAATTAGAGGTCTGACTCAGGTGGGAAAAAATGGATGAGGGAGAACAAGCTCTCTCCATCTGGCTGGCTAAGGGGTGTAAGGTGGGATCATTCCTTTGTATTGGTTCACAAAGAAACCTTTCCCCAAAACACAGGGTCGTTTTTTATTCAAGAAAACAGAAGCAGCTTCACTACTATGCTAAAACCTATAGGAAGCATCACTCGTTCGTCCATACAAACTTACTAGCCCATTCAGTGAATTATAATGCATTAATACATTCAAAACTCAATCAGCACCTACTAAACAGGAGGGATATAATGGTTGCAGTAAGGACTACAGAGAAGGACAGGAAGGTCACTGTTCCAAGGAGTTAACAATTTAATGGCAAAGAGAAATAACAGACTATATGTTAATATATTTTGCTAAGTACTATCATTCTGATTCTAATAGAACGTCAAGAACATCACCATCTAAAAAAGATATGGTCTATTGTCTGATGATGGTTAGATTTAAGGTTCTTCCCTTCATTTTATATTTTTTTCATTTTCTACCGCTGGGCACATACTGGAAGCTTTAAAAGTACTACTGATTTCATTTGCACAAAATACGCCATTACATTCAGTTGCCTGTTAGGTTAGTCAGGCAGTCACAGTTCCTTCCTAGTAATCATGTGCAGTTTATTTTTTGACCGATTTTTTACCTCAATGGACTTATTTTAAATCCCATCTTCTTTCTCCCATTTGATACAGGATCCACCAGGTCATCTTACAGCTGCTAGCTCTCCTTCCACATACAACTGCACTTTAACACCTATGCAGACTCATCATGTCATATACTGCTATTTTCCTTGGTGGTACCTACAGGTCAAATATAGACTGGATGATCTGAGATTCAGATTCTTCCCAAAATGAAAAGTTTAGACTTTGGAGTTAGCTATGCCCTGGCTTGTATTTTAGCTGTATCATTTTCAGGCAAACTCCTAACCATTCTGGGCCTCAGTGTCTTCAGCTGTAAAATGGAAGTCGTTCTATTACACAAAATTGAAGTGAGAATTAAATGGGAAACCTTATGTCAAAATACCTAGACCATTCCATTAAATATGGGCACTGAATATGATTTCATTTCTCTATTCCTCCATTGAAGTGGCCTCATTATTTCTAGAATTTTGTAGTCTAAAATAAAGCAGGCTCAAAAGATCATGGTGGTCTCCTTTATTACCTTTTTAATTTTCTAACAAGTCAGCCGAGTCAGCCAGAATACTCTGTCAGTTAGATTTCTAAAATATAAGATGTTTAGTGATATGTAGGAATTCCTAAGAGCAGGCTTGTATATTAGCCTTTTAATCTTTCAGTAGACACTCAGTGGTTAAAAAAAAAAATCTGATTCTTTATCTGCTTGAGTATGAACTTCAAAGTATAACAATTAGAAGACAAGAGATTCTGACTTAAGGCCTAAGCCCCTGAGAGGATCCTGATAACACAGTACACTGCCTTGTTGACTTTCAGTCCTGAAGTTAGTTAAGTAAACATATGTGGAGGCCCCATGCCTTAAATTTTCTTACTCTTATTATATGGCATTGACCTTACTGAAGTTAGTAGCAGACTGTTTTTAACTAAAGGTTACTGATGTTTATATCACTTAGTGTATGATAATGTAAAACTGTTTTGGATATATTTTTTAGTGTAATATTTACTTATCACTCTCCCACTACAGTTTTCTATTTCAGAAGCTACTTATATTAAAGTACTTACTTTAAAACACCCAGAAAGCTAGGAAAAAACACATCAGTGTATACATAAGTATGGTTATAACAAACACACAATGATATATTTTGGGCTACAAAACAAGTGTAAAATTATTTAGCTTTGATAATAATGTAAAATGGGTAATTATGCTATATCTAAAGAATTTAAACCAAAAATAAATTCTGCTTTTCCAGAGGTCTCTTATTTAAGAATGTATAAATCATATTTATAATCTTTTCATTGAAAGTATATTCCCAGGATTTGACAAAATGTCTGGCATATAGCAGGCAATTGATAAAACTTCACTAAAAAAAAAAAAAAAAATCAGATATTTTGCTTGAATTTTACAAACAGATAAACTTTGCACATAAGAATTATCCTAAGTTGCCAAGAAAGTAAGTGATAGAACAAGTAATAAAGTTCAGGTCAATAAATGTGTTTTGTCCAGCATTTTACAAAATATAATTATCCAGGTTATTTTGATTGCCCCTATTCACAGGTGAAACAACTAAGAGAGAGAAATGAAGCCAACAGGTTCAGGTCTGTCAACATGGTAGAGGAAGTTGAGGAGTATAATACCATCCATTCCAGGAAATGTCTATTTTTGTCTTTTTAATTCTCACACTCCCTTTTCCCTGAGTGCTGCTATTGGGTTCCTGATGAAAAGTTATCAGGAAGGACATGTGGAGAAGAAAACCTGGTGCTGACTTGCAAGACCTGTGGCCTGTGTCTCCCACATTTCTCAGCAATTTTACACTGTTTTTCAGACAGGCTCTACTAAACATTTTAAGCAGCATAGACAAAAAGCAAGGCAGAACAGTTTTACTGCAGCAGACCCCAATGACAATGTCCTCTCCAGTTCAATGAACCCTTTATAAATGTTGCAGTTTTTCTTCCGATGAGCTATATTCCAATAAAGTGAAACCTAGTTGCATAGACAAAATACTGCACATTAGATAGAATCATGACTGGGCAGATAATTATTTGAATACACATAACATTTTAAGTTTCTTTTTTTTATCCTTTGCTTCATCTAATTTACAAATTAATAATAAGCTTAAGACCACTCAGTTGTACCTATCTTTCCTTATTTAGCACCCTTTTTGGTTTGAATAAATGGAAGAATATTTTAATTTCCTTGTTTAATCACTAAAAAAAGTTCTGAGAATTTTCCATAATTTATTTGAAAAGACCAACCTCTAAATGTGAAATGTCATAGTCTATTGAACACTCACCTAAACCAGACTTTTTTAATCGTTTTAAGTGCTGACTTGTTTGTTTTCCAGTGGGAGATTTTTGCCCATGTTTCATTTCTTTATCTGAACTGTCTGCTTCACCATTTTTAGATTCGGATCCTAAAAAAGGAAATAGTTATTATGTCATTATCTTCCTCTAGCTGTCCTCAAAAAGAAAAATCTAAAATTGTTTTAGGAACTGTAGATATAATCTCCTTTTCTAAGAGTTAATATACTACCTTTGGCCACAATCTGATTCCCCTACTGGATATAAAAAGAGAAGCCCAATAAATCAATCAAACAGAACAAAAAGTAAGAACAGATGGCCTAATAGTAGAGTCAAAAACACGTTCACTGATCTGATAGCTTTTTAAAAGAAACAGAGTCAGATCTTTTGTAAAACTACACGAATAAGCTTGAACAATACGATGCCATTTTGAAACAATACAAGACAGACAGGAAAGCTGAAGGAAGAAGGGAATCTTGAAGAGAGGGAGAGATCGTACTTTTATAAATAACTTTATGTAGAAGGAGGAACAGAAAATGCAAACATGAATCTATAATAAATAGCTGATAAAGCGACAGAAGGTAAATTAGAAGAAAAAGGTCAGGGCTGCACTGGGGTGAGAAGAATGTTGCCAGAACACAAAAACTAATAAAGGATTCCTGATCTTGCAGCATAGGACTGAAAAAGAAATTCACACTCACAGAAGAACTGCTTTTGATGGTATTACCCATCAGCATGTGGTCCACCATTCAAGTTCAACATTCAAACAAAAGCCAAAGCAACAACAACAAAATTCACCTAGCATTGCTACACATTTTTTTGCAATTATTGATATTAGCAAATGCAGTTATTTGATAATGATGGGAAAGCTGCTGCTTTTTTTAAAAAACTGAGCAGTACACTATATTTCTGAATCACTGAAAGAGTCAAAGGCATAAAAAAAAAATTAAACCAAACCTCAAGTGGAAATAATATTCAGTTTCAGAAAAAAAATTCATGACACCTCTCTCAGTGAGGAAGTCACCTCCGGGAAGAAACTGGCCAAGCACACAATATTTTTTTAGCTCTTTACCTGAAGGCGAATCCGACTGCTCATCAGACACCTTTAATGGTGTCAAAACAACACGAGGAACAGTCTTGTTTACCATCATTGAGACTCCATTTCTTCTTTTCTGCTGCTGCCTCAAAGCCTACAAAACATGATAATACAAACATAATATAAGCATACAGCCAAAATGATTTCTCATAATTGAATTAAATGATTCATTTGCCCATCATTAGACAGAACTTCTTAACAGACCTAGATTCCACACAGCCCCTAATTTCTCAGGATCTAATAGTTACCTTCATGTCATTTTCCCTAAACAGCATAAAATCAGGCTTTGGCAAAGGGTAAAAACCCGAGACCATTTTCCATATAATTCTAACAACAAAGCAACACTTAATGGTTTCTTCTACCTTCGCAGTGAGGCTTGAGAGCCCATGGAATTTGAAACTATGACTCCCAAGTAAAATAAATGTTTTGAAACCAGGATAAAAATATATGTGTCTGCACTTCTCGCGCAGGTGCGTCCTCTCCAGTGCACCGCTCAGTCAATCAAGTTAACATTGAGTGTCATCAGTATGTACAGCGTGTAAGGACGACAGTATTGATGCACTCGCTCAGCCGTGGGGAGCACTGCACAAAATCACTGAACATGGCAGGAATCATTTATTTCTGTGAAGGGAATCAGTCCTAATCTTGGAAACCTTGCAGCACTTGGCTTCTGTCTGCTTGACTTTGGGCATTAACCTGCAGAACACGAATATGACGGGGTTCTGGCAAATCCAGGAAAAATTGATATGAGAATAAATCTCTCCAAATGGGAGTGCTTTGTGTTTCATAAATGAATCGACCACGGTGATGATAATATAATAAAAGACATTTAAAAGTTTTGAAATACAGCTTATCTAGCTGATCGCTTTACACAGAAAATTACCTGTAATAAAAAGGATCTTAAACACGTGAAACTGAAGAGCCATTAAATTCACAGTCACAGGAATGCTAAAACCCCTCAAAAGGTTAAAAGGCTGGCTTCAAACAGACTCAAACCTTTTTATTCTGGGTTTCTGTGAAATTTCTGCCAATTTTACAACATCCCAGTTACTTGATTAATGTTCTTCGACCAAGAGTTGTCAGAATCTCTTGAAAGACTGCATTGACTGTATTTCCCCTCACTGTCAAAAAACGATGTCATTTTATTTGCTAAGGGTATTATTGGCTGAATGTCCAACTTGTTGACCATAAGATTTAGCAAACGGCTAATTACATAAGTGAAAAATTTAAATAAGAGATGCCATTTAAACTATTTAGATAAGATTTAAAGCCAGATGAGAAAGTAAAGGCTTGGGAAATGGATTACAAATGACATCATTGCTAATGATAACACGAGATATCTTCCCTTCAATTCTTACATTTATTGAGACTTTATAAAGTACCAGGCACTGGGGGAAAGCAAGAAATACAAAAATTAATAAGATGCCATCCTTCTCACCTTTAGCCTGCTGCCAATAATATATTTAATGAGAGCACATGTGCTATAAAATATTTAAGACATTTACTCTTTCTTCAAGGTATATATATAACTGCACATAAATTTTTCACATAATTGCATACATCTCTCTCGCCTTGTATAAGAACTCAAAGCACTTTATAGACATTAACCTATAAAACGAAATAAGACAACACAGCACTTTAAACTATGGTTAAGTTCATCTTTGCCCATTATGTAAGACTTCACAACTGCGGGATTTTTTTTTTTTTTTTTAGAAGTTAGTTATTTCTATTTGTAAGAATGCTTGAGAATTCATTGAGCTTAGGCTTAGTGAGGTGTATTTATGTGGTTTACAACCACTTCCAGGTATAGTTAAATTATTCTTAGCCATTGGTGTAGAAATGGCCACCAGGAATACATCTACAATTTTTAAAAGTCTTTACAGCATATATTTCAACTACTTCCCTTGAAAAACAAAATTAGGCATTTTTAAAAGAGTCATTTTCTCTGTGTGTATGTGCACGCGCGTGCGCGCATGATTAGGGAGTTTATTTTAGAAAATGTTGGTTAGAAAAAACATGATGAACTAACTAGAGGGCTAGAAACTGAAATTATAAAGCCAAAGCTGGCATGCCTTTTTAGAGCATTTGTGGTAAATAATAATTAAAGTAACAAAAAATTTTGACCTCAATTTCTAGAGTTGAGAAGACTCTACCACAAAAAATAATAATCAGACAGAAAGAAATCGTGATAAAAATAATATAAGAATAAGAATTAAAACTTATAGCTATTTTGAATTTTAGAGTCAAGGTGGAGTCAAGGCAAGAATAAAGGAAGCTAACCAATAACGAGCCCATTTCACTAACATTTTCTAATTACCTATTTCTTGCTGAGAAAATCTTAATATTTCTCTGTAAGATATTTTTTAAAATACTGACACCCAGCAATATGGGCCAGTAGAGGTGACCACAACTAAATGTTCACTGTATAAGAAAAATAATTGTTTAAGTGTATTAAAAATATACATACTCTTTTTTTGTTTTACTCCTGAAAAATAAGTATTGGATTTATTCCCAAATAACACTTCCTGGGACAAATAAGCAAATGCTGCACCAGATTTTTATGGTCTGCATTAGGGGATACTTCAGAGACCTTTGTGGTGAGGCCTCTGAAACTACATTCTACCCTGACATGAACCATACTACTCATGGTTGACCTCCAGTCTTCCCCTAGCATAGGCTCTATATACCTGTGCTCCTCTCGCCTAAACAGCTGTCTTTTTACCATGACTCTAGTAACAGTGGTAAAGCATTAGACTTTTCCACTCTAACACTTAGGCTAGGCTGCTGGACTAACTCTGTACAACAGAGCTTAGTTATGAGAATCGTAAAGGAGGCATCTTGATTTCACCTCCTAGATCCACAGGCATTTTTGACTATCTATTTCTTCCTTGAAGATTCCAATTCACTTTCCAGAAAGTAGGATTTATTTGACTCTGGAGCCTGGAAACATTCTTTAGCAGATCAGCATGTAGATGCAGGGAGAAAAAACAACACTGTCTCAATTGAGAAGCTTGGGATAGTTTGGCTGACTCTAAACTCTAAACAAGAGAACTCTGACCTGTTCCATGAGGAAGGCTATGTAGTAACTCCTAGTCTCCTGAGTTACTACACAGTAGTAGGAAGGCTGTGTAGCAACTCCTAGTCTCTTGAGTTACTCCTAGTCTTGAGGTGGGGCATGCTTCCTGCAAGTAAAGAGGACTGGCTCCTCAACTACTGCTGTTGTTGTCATTATGTAACTCTATTTCTCCAATTATATGGGCATCACCACATCTCCCCACAGTCCTCCGAAAAATATACAATGCCTTTTGGACCAGGCCAGCTAGGGGTAAGACAAGGACAAAAGGGGAGGCTGTGGCGAGCAGGAACAGACATGCCCCATCAGAGGGGGCAGCTGTCATTCAAATCTAGATTCTGAGGTGAGTCTGTTTTTAAACAATCTGCCAAACAAAGATGACAGCTGGCCAAAGTCAGCAAGAGGGCAACAGTCTTTGAGATCTACTAAACACTATGCTCCCCCCTCCCACAAATAAGTGAGTTTGACCACTGCCCGCTATAGCTATTAAAATCTCTCTTCTCATGTGCTGAACTGCAGAGGAACGGGGGCCACAGAGCTGTCTTAATGGCAGTGCGGTGCCATCGTAAAGGGTTGTAGAGTCAGAGGAAGATTTAAATAGCTGCATAATGCTAGGGAAATCACTTGGGCAAATGTCCCTGCAAAACAGAGACAATCGTGCTGACAAGATGCTTCAAATAGAAAATCTGCAACAATATTTTAGCCCAGTTTACAGCACACAGTAAATACTCAGTAAATGTCACTTTTTAATATTTATATAATTTATCCTGTCTGCAACAAATGCATTCTTGAGGACTTACTCACTTTTTCTACAGTATAAGCACTGCTGGCCCATAGCAGAGAAGTTTTATTTTAATTATTTTCATTTTAGTGAAAAACTGACAAGGAAACACATAAAATAAATATAGTAGTTTCACATACATTCAAGTGCAAGAAAATTATGCCAGGAAGTTGAGGTAGAGTAATGAGGGGAGGAAACAAACCTAGAAAAGGCTCTTCTCTGGAGGCGACACAGGAGGTGAGACCCAAATGACAAGGAGAAACCGTAGTGTGAAAATTGTAGGGTCCCTGGTAAGTAAAAGCAGCAATATCAAGACTCCTAGCAGGAAGGACCCTGGTGGTCCAGGAATAAGAAAACCAGTGTAGCTGGAGAAAAGGACTAGAAGGTTAGCAGAGACAGCACAGACTTCTCCAAAATGGTTGCCAAGGGTTTACAAACAGCAGCCTTATGTTCAATGCAAAGGTAGCCCTGCTACCCAACTGCTTTTCTGCAGCTTGAAGTCGCCACACTAGCACTTTAGCACCAAAGATGTGAAAGGGGCACAGCAAAGAGGAGGCATGGGGTCATCCAACAAATAACTGTTATCTTCCTGGATTCATTATTCAGTGAATACTTTTAAGGCTTCACTGCTAAAATGCATTGTATCCCACACCTTGCATGAGTTCCTTAACTCTGATCATTTTGAGTTGTCCCATCTGTGAAAACTCCAGACACACTTCTGTCCTCTGCTACAGCTCTCCTCTGCTGGATACACTCTTCCCTCAGACACCTGAATGGTGTGCTTCCTCATATTCATCAAGCCTTCGCTCAGACATGGCAGTTCCCCCTTATCTGCAGTTTCACATTCCAGTTTCAGTTACCCATGGTCTGAATATCTTAAGATATTTTGAGAGAGAGAGAGACACCATATGCACATCACCTTTATTACAGTATGTTGTCATAATTGCTTTTATTAGTTATTGTTCACCGTTTACTGTGCCTGATTTAGAAATTAAACTTTATCATAGGCATGTACATATTAGAAAAAATGTAGTCTATACCATTTGCAGTTTCAGCAACCACTGAGGGTCTTGGAATGTCTTCCCTATGGATAAGGAGGAACAGACTACTGTACTACTTTTCCCACTGTATTCTCCATCCCCACGACCCATTCGGCTTTTCTTTTTTTCATGAACTTACTGTCTTTCAGCATACTGCTTAAAGCTATAACTTCCTCCCTTCCCTATTCTAGAAGATAGGC